CCCCAGGTCTCCGGACCCCGTGTGCCCTAGCCACGGGGGAAGCCGGCGTTTCTGGCCGGGGAGCTCCATGCACGTGGAGACCTTTGGAGCGGGTGTCCGTCCCCGCAGATAGATGGTGGGACACGATCCCCAAGGGCCGTGCACCTGGCCTGGGCTCCTCCGCAGCATGGGAGCTTTCTATATCTTGCTCTAGAAGCAACAGAGGAGCCGCTCGGTCCTTGCTACGAGGCTGGGAGGATTCATCACCACCGAATTTTTTTGGCCAAGGACACGCGTGGCGTCCTTGTGACTGATGGGATCCTTGTGGGTGAAGCCATTTGGTTTCTTCGCCTCATCCCACCCCACCCCGGTCTTTTGTTCCCCGCTTCCTGCAGCCCGATCCTCTCTCTGGCGGAGTCGCTCCCCCAAACGTAGGCAGCTAAGGCTGGGCCGTCAGCCTCGTGTAGCTCAGCCTGGCCAGCAGCGCTTGCCCGATGAGAAGCGGGCTCGAGATGCCTGTGGTGACGCAGGCCCCTTCACCCTGGAGAGCAGAGCTCCTATTGTAGCCTGATTTGGAAAGGAGAGGGGGTGGGCTTGGTCTCCGCCTGGCCGCGAGGTGGGTGTAGCATGCCCCGGTTGCAGCGAGCGCTGGAAGGATGCTGCGAGATCGTGGGACGCGCTGCCAGGAGACCCCACGGGTCCCCATCGGGACTCATGATTCGGTTTGGTTCAATGTCTGCTGCAGAAATCCAATGGCAGGGATGGACGAGCCACACAGCCGGCCTATTTTGGAGCAGCTCTCCAGGTTTTGTGTGCCAGGACGCTTGCCCGGGGCACAGAGGACCTGCTAGTCCCTGCTCTGTAGGGTGCGACGGTCTCCCTCCTCTCTTCCCCTTCCTGTCTCAACAAATATGTTTTGCTGTAACTGCCACGGTTCAGTCATCTTGGCCAGGAAGAGATCCCTGGGCAAACGTCCCGAGTCGCTCATCGTGTTCTCCAAAAATAATTTTGGGGAACGAGAGTGAGTGATTGAAATCAAAGCTATTTAAACAACTAGGTTGCATCACAGCATATAAACCACCCGGCTGGACATCTTGATGCAATTGTAATCTGTGTTTTGCATCTGTGAGTCTTAGTTATTTTCCTAAAGAAAGATTGAACTGTATCGTCTTGGTGGTTCTTTTGGGTAACGAAGGGGATGCGCAATATCTATGTGTTTGTTTGCACAATTACACTGTTTAACACACATTTAAGACTTAAGGTTTGCTTAGTTTTCAGTTTTAAAAGTGGTATCTCATTTATGGGATAATTTCCGTTTTTTCCCCCTCTTTTGATTGTCCCCAGGTGTATTCAGATGGAGCCTAGAAGTCGACTTAAAAAACACAAGAACAAATGCTTTAACTTGCTTTTGTTAGGTAAGTGAGACTGTGTTTTAATAGTTGCATACATACAACGGGCAAAAAAAATAATTTTGCAAAACATGTACCGCATTTAAAAGTAATTTATTCCATGAAGGAAGTGTTATCAGTAGGGAGAGACTGGAACGTAATGTTTTGGGTCATCGTGTCCTTCAAGATTTTCAAACTAGTAGAGATCACCCGTTCACGTTTCACTTTTATTTACAACTTGAAAAAGGAAAACGAGCTTTCTTGCCTTTTTGACCTCCCATCGGTTTCTCGGTGCTGAACGGGCTACTTGTTGAACTGAACTAGATGAAAAAACATATTCTTCCTGCACCTGCAGAGTAGGTCAGGCCTCTCAGAAATGCAATTTAAGCACTTCAACAAACTCTGGTTCCGGATGAGCCAGCGACCGCTGCTACTTCAGCGTTCAGAGTTTCTTGCAACTTCGGTAGCCAATGTGCACTGCTTTGAATATTATTTTTAAAAAAATGAATGATTATGGGCCTTACCACTGGGGTCTTACCACCGGTTGCCATCATTTCAAAATTAATTTGAAATAAGTTAGTTTTAGAAAGCAAAACGTTTTTAAACAATACTTCGTTTCCTTTTAAGCTAATTCTTTGCCATCCAGGTGCACATCCCTCCTTTCCCTGCATTCGACCGTCTGTCCTAACAAGGAGCCCGCAGCGTGCTTGGCTTAGCCTGAATGCTTGAGAGAGCAGAGAAGGCAATTGGGACTCGTAGTAGAGATGAGATCTTGTATTAGACCAAGATTTTTGCAAAAAAAAAAAAAATTTCTTTAATTGCAAGCTGGATCCCCGAGAGAGAGGAGGACATAGCCGCAGGGTCTCCACGGGGTGCAGCTGTGAGGCACCCCCGCCCATTGCGGCTGGCCCGGGTGAGATGCGACAAGGAGCTCCTGGGCGTCTCCACTGCGGCAGTGATTCGATCTCTTCTTTAGCACCAGCACCCACGTGGAGCCTCAGAGCCGGCGTGGCCTTTGTGCAGGGTGTTTCTAAGCTGGGGTGCCACGTGCATCCTTGCAGAAAGGGGCAAAATCAATGTTTCCTCTGTGCTCCAGGTTGGAGCTGCTGAGTTTCTCTCCCCCCTCCGCCCCCACGACCTTGCTCAGTACCTGCTTGCCTGTGCACCAGCTCAGCCTTGGGTGGGGCCCGGGGCTGAGCGGCCCCAGCCATTGTGGTTTGCTTCATCCTGCACACGCTCAGGGTGGAGCTCCAGGTCTTGCTCAACCCTTCGAGCAAAGGCACCCGGCGGCTCTGACACCCCGGCACGCACTGACTCACGCCTTCCTTCCCCACCCACCGCGGCATGGGACGAGAGAGCTCGGGGCAGGGTTTGCTGTGCCCCGCGCGTACAGGGTGGGCACGGTCCAGAGCGATGCGGACGGGGCATGAGGGCTAAGCAGCTCTCCAGGCCCACTTCCACCCCCATGACTTTGGTGCCCGAATGCTTTCAGGCTGAGTGTTGCACTGCCTTGACCGCCGGGCTCCCGTCCCCGACCCAAGCCTTCGTTCAGGCCTGGTCCTCGCGGGCGTCGGGGTGCCGACTGCATGGCCTGCGCTGGATGCCTTGATCAGCATCTCTGGCATCCCTGCAGCTTTTTCGGTTGACAGTCCTGACCAAACGGGCCACGAATCCGCTCGGTTTTTCCCTCCTAGGCTACAGGGACATCAGTCTGGTCTCTCTGTTTTCTCCTTCTAGGGTACATGGCTCTAATGGGCATCTCTGTCCTGCTGGGGCTTTCCAGCCTGGAGGCAGGTGATTATCGGCTGGCAGATCGTCTGAGCAACGACC